CAACTCCGCAACTTCTTGTTTAGATTGTCGCTCTCTTTTTCACTGCTTCAAACACAAACTATGAAGAGAATACAACTTGTCTTTGTAGTATTCCTGCTCATAGGGTTCATCAATCCATACCTCAAAATTGCAAACAGGTTCGTCGGGTTGCGGCGTCCAGCTTCTTCCCAACAATCGTGAATCGTGCATCTTTTGATGCACTCGCACCTTGAGACATAAAGGGTTTGTTGAGACATTTGTTAAAGCGTAAAGAGAAACCTTAATTTTATGGAAATATTTGCTATTGGTTATTGTTAAGAGCAGAAAATAACTAGAATGCGCCCATTATTTATAGGCAAGATTTCACACAAAATGTAGTATTATACCGCGCTATACATATTAAATTTTTCTGAAATGAAACAGATTTTGCGCAGTCGGTTCTGCTTTTTTCAGACCGACAAGGCAACACGCAAAACGTAGTATTGTACCGCGCTATACATATTAAATTTTTCTGAGACGAAACAACTTTTGCGCGGTCGGTTCAGCTTTTTTCAGACCAACAAGACAACACACAAAACGTAGTATTATACCGCGCTATAAATATTAAATTTTTCTGAAACAAAATAGCTTTTGCACAGTCGGTTCAGCTTTTTCCAGACCAACAAGACAACACGCAAAACATAGTATTGTACCGCGCTATACATATTAGATTTTTTTGAGACAAAACAGCTTTTGCGCAGTCGGTTCAGCTTTTTCTAAACCGACAAGACAACACGCAAAATGTAGTATTGTACTGTGCTATACATATTAAATTTTTCTGAGACGAAATAGTTTTTGCACAGTTGGTTCAGCTTTTTCAGATCGACAAGACAACACACAAAACGTAGTATTATACCGCACTATACGTATTAAATTTTTCCTATTGGTTATTATCCGTTATTTTCTTGTACGTTGCTTTAGTTTTTTTCTTCGAATTTTTAAGACAACGGCCATTTTAAGAAGCAAATTTTCAAGAAGGATAATAAAAGATGTCTTGATTTTATAGGGTTTTTTTAAGATTGGTCTTCTTTACTAACACCAATAAGTTGAATGTTTGAACTACCATATCATCATCCCAATTCAAAAGGTCATGTTAAAAAATAAGATGTAACAAGATTGTGGAACATAATTTTATTTGATAGATATTGCAACATACATAAGTACAGACACTTATTACAAAAAACAATACGAAAACAAAAACTAGGTGTATCCTTAATAGTTGGGTACATTCAACGAACTTGCACCAAGAGCTGAATTACCACCGCCACCCACACTAACTGAAGGACATTTATGATGGTCGTGTCCTGTTTGCGAGCATATGCCATATTTACGCACATAAACGGTGTCACCAACATCATGGTTCCGTATACGCGTTCTCTTTTACACTTGCAGCTTGCTCAAATAGTCCTTGTTACACACCATTTTAAAAGGTTCCCGTGACCAATAATGCTCAGCACCCAATGGCTGCAACTGCTCACTATATGTGTCTATATATGCAGCAACATTGTATTGCCTATCAATATAGTTGGTTGCCCCTAAACCAACTTGTTGAAAACACTTCAAGGCATGTGCGTACGACATGTAGTATATGGTCCATTTCCCACATGAACACAACCTGCTAGCTTCATTCACCGTCTGTATATTATTCCCCCGGTGTCGGCGGATAGCGGTGCTAACTTCAAAAACACCCCGATCATGATCGTACTGTAAAAATGAATGCCAATGTGCTTGCCTCCTGTACTTCTCAAATCTTCTCATCGGTATTAGCATAAATTGAACACCCTTGTCCATCAATACCGATGCAGCTCTACGCCTTTCAACAAACCTCTCCGCAATCTGTTTGAATGTCATCCGGACCATGGCAGTAATATGCAATCCGCATGCAGACTTCAACAAGCCATTGGATGACTCCGACACATTTGTAGTCAGGGCTCTCTATCGTCTGCCACCATCAACATGAAATGTCCACATGTGAAGCTCATATCCCATCAGCCAAGTATAGGCTCGTGGATCTAACTGCCGGATCGCTTTTATGCGCCTCGTGAATTTGCACTGTTGGTGCTCAATTGCAACCATCCATATTAAATCATGCAAGGCATTGTCGTGATATTTCTTATAGAAATTGGCCTTCAGGTGCCTCACACAGTAACAGTGGTATGCATAGGGTTCCTGTCATTCAGGCAAATGCCGTACAGAACTTAAAATACCACCATGTCGATCCGATATTAGACAAATACCTGAACGCTGTTTGACAACGTGTTGCTTCAAGTGGTTCAAAAAAAACGTCCACGTCTCTTCGCTTTCGTTGACACAAATGGCAAAAGCTAGTGGAAATATTTGTCCGTTGACATCTACTACAATTGCAATCAAAAGCTTAATATCATACTTTCTATAGACATGAGTACCGTCTATGAAAATTACAGGACGCCAATGCACAAAACCATCAATTGCTGGTTTAAATGGCCAGAACACATAGTTGAAAATATATTTGGGTTTGTCCGGACTCCGCTCACGCCTCCATTCAATAACAATCCCGGGGTTAAAGTGTTGCAGTGCGTCTATGTACCTGGGCAGAGCTGAAAATAACTTATCCCAGTCACCATAAATAATTTTAAAGGCACATTTGCGCCCCAGATATGCCTTTCTTTTGGTTATAGTACACCCATACTCCTGGTGGACGGCTGTAATACACTCTTTAATCTTGAACCTAATGGACACTTCCAAGTATGGAATCAAGACAAGAGAAATCAAGTCTACATCCAGGTTGAAGTGATTCTCATTGAATGTGTCCATCTCACATATGTGGGTGTTAATATATTTACCCACTTTCCACAACCCTAATTTCTTCTTGCTGGCACGCAACATCTAGTGACAACCCATAAAGTCTCTACGACATACAACCTTGTATACCTCCGTAGTTGACTCCCTTACTGTCATCTCACGATTTCATAGCCCTGATTATGCGAGCTTTATCGGGGAAATACATGCCCTTTGTCAGCACCGCTAGTCTAGACTCATCCCACATTGCTGACCGAAATTCGTCAGCATCCCTTATAAGGGCATCCACGTCCGACATACTTGGAAAATTATCAAGGTAGGGAATATTCCGCTCATGAAATGGAACGTGGGACTCGTACACTCTTGGTCTAACGGGAGGTGAAAGAGTATGCTCCCTCGTCAGCTCAGGTTCGACATTCACTTCCTCCTTATCATCACCCTCATCAAGGAAGGGTGTGTTATCTCCAGACTCATCGGCATTGTTGTCATAATAACTATCATCTTCCTGACTCTGCTCATCTACCAAATCACGAGTCAATACGTCGTTTAGGGCAACTGTGTGAGGTCAGGAACATCAAGTTGCTCATTTTCACTGCACAAGAAGAACAAAATGATAAGCTACTCAACTAGATAAATACTTTACATATAGCCATATCACTTTACTTACAAGTCGTACTGTGTTGACATTTCATGATTGATATTTTCTTATTGATGATGACTCCCGGATGGACCATCGTGGTCCAACACACCAGAACTACGCATGTTCCAACTAGGAGCGGGGTCATAACTTGTAAAATTCATATCCGGACGGTACCCCATATGAAAAATATGAGTGTTAATACAAATCCAATTCAAACATAAAATAAACATCGCTAAAGCGTATAAAAATTGAAGTTTACCAGTCGTCATGTGGATTATATAAAGTCAAAAAATTATTTTCTCGCTGCTCATTCGCCGGTGGTGACAAGTTTAAATCAAGGCAAGCTCTTTCATCAGGAATCTGTCCGGCAAAAACTGCTCTAGAATAACCACTCGATGAATGGGGGTTATCCCTACTATGCACACCCTCATTATTGGGAACGTCTTCAACCTTGACGTACATTTCCAATAATTTTATTACAATAAATTCCCTGTTCATCCGGAATCCGCAAAAAATCTCTAAAAGTTTCATCATCTTCGATGTTAAACTCAGAATAATAAGCAAACCCCTATGGAGTCACAAAATATGGAAATCTACCGGTTACTTTAAGGTTCACCGAACGTTTCCTCACCTCATTTTTTTACATAACAACGATACCGATTTATCGTACTCCATTGTAAACGACAATTTAACATGACACTGTGGAGGTGAACTATACCTCACAGAGTTATTCTCCATTATAACCTCACTCCCCCAATATAATAAAACCCTTATTTTTGGCTCTTCAGACATTATTAAAAAATGCTTAATAACAAGAAGAGAAGTATGAACAAAAGTTTGAAGGAAAGTTTTGAATGGATTTTCATAAAATCCTAACGCCTTTAAATAAGGCAAGCCCTAGTTTGGGATGCAAAATTTTTTCATATAAAACGCAGTATAATACCACGCTTTATGTACTTGAATTATTGTTATGTCAGTTATCCGTAGAACACTTATTGGTGGGCCCAAAAATGAAGTAAAACGTAGTATTATAATACTGCGTTTTAGTAAAACGTAGTATTATACAACGTTTTACACAAAAAAAAGAATTATTTATGTCAGTTATCCGCAGAACATTTGGTGGGCTAAAAAATGATGTAAAATACAGTATAATACTATGTTTTGCATAAAAAAATGAATTATTAAGTAAAACGTAGTATTATACTGCGTTTTACGTTAACGGCTAAAATTCCGTTAACATAAAGCGCAGTATAATACTGTGTTTTAGGTACAAATGTACCTTTTTTTTATAACTGTAGAAACGTAATTAGAGTGCAAAACTTGCCATTTTGGTTCCAGACTCCTCCCTTTCCCCCTCCGTGTAATAAAACTATTTAAAAAAAGAAATTATAGTTTAAGCCTTAGTTGTGGGTTTTGACTTTTGAGGACTTCTTTTCACAATCATACAGGGCTCAATTGTGACTTCCCCAAACTACATGGACTGATATGCTATTATTAAAATGTAATTTTTTCTATAAAAAGGTCCCGCTCCTCTACTCCACCCTCCACTTTCTCGATCCAAAACTTCATTTTTGTGTAACGTTAGGGTTTATCAGATTTCTCCATTAAACCCTTCTCAAGTTCAATTACTTTCTAAATCAGCTGTAAGTATTCACTTCATACATTCCCTGTACATGTCTACTTGTACATTGGGCATTTGGGGTTGTACTTTTACTCGTTTAATGCTGCCCAATACCTAGGGTTTTATTAATTACCAAGTGTGGTACATGAATCGTTGAGCTCTATATTGTTTTTTCTTTTTTTGAAGAATTCACTGATTCTTTGTTCTGGAGTTCTCATTAACATCATAAATTTGTGATTTTAATTTTTTGGGAAAGCCAGTAGTTTAATAATTCATGTGTACTTGTACTTTGGGCAATTGGGGTTGTTCTTTTGCTCCTTAATGCAGCCTAATACCTAGGGTTTTATGTTGCAACGTCGGGTGTGGAGATCTTGAACTGCATATTGAGTTTCTTGAGAATTCAGATTCTTTGGTTCAGCGTGCACTTTTGAGTTGTCGGATTGTTATAACATTGCCAAGTTGTGAACCTTTTCTGTTGAATACACGAGTTTTAGCTGAGTGGTGAGGTTTTTGAGTAAAAGAAACCCTAAATGATTCAAGAATTTGAATATGACCGATGGAGGTAATGCGGAGGGTAAAAGGGAGAAAGAGAGTAATGTGGATAATACCGGGGAAGAAAGAGCTGGTTTCGACGATTTTGGGCGAGCAATATCGAGGATTGCTGTGGCTCAAATATGTGAAAGCATTGGGTTTGAGAGCTTCAATGAATCTGCCCTCGAATCGCTTGCAGACGTTGCAATTAAGTATATAATTGACCTAGGCAAGACTGCTAGTAGTGGTGCTAATTTAGCTGGGAGAACACAATGCAACGTGTTTGATGTAATTCAAGGATTAGAGGATATGTGTGCCTCCACTGGTTTTCTGGGCGCATCAGAGGGGAACCATTGTGGGTTAAATTCTGGTATTGTTAGGGAGATGGTTGAGTATGTGGAATCTGCTGAAGAGGTTCCCTTTTCTCAACCTCTTCCACATTTTCCGGTGGTAAAGAATCAGAGGATGATACCCAGTTTTTCACAAATTGGTGAAACACCGGCATTTAAGCACGTACCGCCGTGGTTGCCTGCATTTCCTGATCCCCATACTTATATACGAACCCCTACGTGGAATGAGAGGGCATCAGATCCTCGAGCTGATAAAATTGAATTAGCAAGGCAGCGAAGGAAGGCGGAAATATCTTTGTTAAATTTACAACAGCGATTGGTGTGCAATGGTTCAGCAGTAGCATCAACTTCTAAGCCGCCGGATGATGTTGATATTGCATCAAGTGTTAGTAAAAGCGAAAATCCATTTCTTGCAAAACCTTTTCAACCTGGTGAGAAAGATGTGGACATAGTTTCTCTTCCAGCTAAACTTTCCAGTGGGGTAGACGATAAAAATCACACTTCTTTACTGGAGACGTTCTCTCCTGCAATTGAGGCAATGAAGGATGGGCTTTCTGAAACAGTAGATGGTGCGGATAAAAATCTTCCGGACAAGAGGCCTGCTGTCTGTTTAGATTTTAGAACTGGAAAGAAAGTCTTAGGTGATTCGTTGGATCTGAGGCTTTTGAAAAAGGGTTCTGAGAGAAAAGCTTCCTTTTTCAGGCGAGATGAAGAAAGAGATGATAAGAAGAGGAGAGCCGAGTTAATACTGAGGCAATCTAGGGAAAATCAGCAGGAGTTAACCCAGTTGTAAATTAGTTCATGGATTGGTTAGCTTGATGGGGTACTTCCGTTCCCTGTTCGAAACAGCAGCAAGTGATTAGGTTTAGGTAAAAGTCAGCCATACTGTAATTCTTCTGCGAATGTCACAGAGTCTATGTGGATGTTGAGATGTAGTGTAGAGCATTTTTTCGAGGTTAGTCATTGTTCGTTCTCCAATGAATTTTTCTCAGTGAGAATCTTTTACTTTTGCAAATGAAGTTTCTCCTTCTATTTACTCCACCCACCCACTCCCCCTCCCTCTATAAAAATGAAAGAAAAACACAAACACACATGTACACTCACTCACGCACAAACAGAGAAAAGGAATAAGCAAATGAAAAGGAGGGAATAGAGTAGGAACACAAGATTTTTATGAACGGTGGTGTTGATCTTTGTATCTATTTGCTTTTGATGGCTGTGAAATTTTCATTATTCAGATTTTCATGCAGAAGTTTGAATTTGGGATTGATGGATGAAGCGTGAAAGTTGATGAGAAAATTATGTGTTGTTGTTTTGTTCTCTTAATTAGGAAAATGACTGAACTGGTCCCTTTTACAGTCTTTTTCTTCATTTCATACAGATTGGTTTTTATTATTGCAAGGCTGGTAACTCAGGGACTAATCGTAGACTCGAGCTATATTCCAGTGTCTTGCCTTGCCCTGTCTATAGCGTAAATAGTAAGCTACCCACAAAGCGAAGTTTTAACTATTATATCTGTCTCATCTAATAAACAAGTACCAAGCTATAATTCAAGTACTTGCAATACCCTGCCTGCAATATTGCTTGTACCACAGTCCACAACCAAGGAGCCAAATTTGAAAAGGTTTGATGATTTGATTGTTTAAAAAGAGATGGGAAGTTTTGTGATTCTGTTACATTGATTAAAATTCCCAAATTAAAGTATAGTGATCTATGAGGGAAATTACTTTGTTAGGTCGTCAAGGAAAGGTGGTACTGTAGTTTGTTGAATTCTATGAAAAGTATGTTCTTACATGTGTTTTCCCACTGCCAATTAGTATCATTTAGTTAGTACTTGTGAGAGAGAACATACTTGTGGTTGTTCTGAAAGATCTTGTCTAATCATCCATCGATTTCTTGCTGATTTTAGTCCAGACCAACAGTTTTTGATATTCTCTTAAAACCTTGTGGAGTTGTAACTTTTGTTGCAGTCATACGTATGCTGAGGGCAGTTTTTCTTTATAGTTTCAGAAGACAAACAGCTAAACAGTAATTGTTCCAAGTAAGAGAGGGATAACCTTTTTTACTTATTTACTGTTCCAATTAAGCATTTCTCTTTTTTGTATAGTTTGGTGGTTACATTCACTAGATTTCTAGATCTCCCGCTGCTTTCTCTTATTTCTGCTGTTTTAGAAGTTCAAGCCGTGAGATAACACATCATAGCTCAGCTGTGCAAGTTTTGCAAATGGAGCTAAGTTTAGATGGGTTTTGTGTATTATTCCCTTTCTTTATTGGATTTTGTGTTGGATTATACCATCATGCTAGAAGATTTTAGGAAAGGGATTTTTCTTATAACTATATACTCCTGTAAATTGCATTTGCGGTCTACCTGCATAATCTTGCATCATTATCCAGCTATTGTTATAGACTTTTGAGTGGATGTTCTCAGTTATATATGAAACCCAAGGCAATTAGTGTCGTTTATTTTATGCATGTGATCGGGGCATGCAAGTTTGTTGGACTGGCCTAACTAAGCTGTATGATAAGAGCAAGAAGGGTCAATGTTATCACCAATGAAATCAAATTTGGTATAAAGCCAATGGATGGGAACTGAATGGATTTCTTTTAACTGTGGCCCCTCTATCCCTTGCTGAATTTATTGTGATTTTACCTGGCAAAAGTTACTAAAATAGAGGGTGATATTTCATTCCAACAGCTAGGATGGTTGAGGGAGGATGGTGCAACTTGTGATTTATAGGCATAGTTGAGTTATTTCGCGTTACAAGAGTCACATTATGATTTTGATGCAATAAACTGAAAGGCGGATAATAAGAAATATAATCCAAAGCCCCCAAGACCATCTTTGCTCCCCATTTTCACTCGGAGTGAGTTTTGAAAACAGAAAAGTACCTTTCTAGTTTTGCTCTTTGGTCTTCAACTTAGAAGTATGATTGATCTTTGTTTAAGCACTTAAAAATTTTGCAAAAAATATGCACCATCTGATCGTAGTTGCGCAATTACATATATTAGCTTGACAAGAATCTAGACATCTTGGGACCTATGACGTTTTAGAAAATGAGAGCTAGCACAGAATAAGGAGATATAGATCATTTTCTTCGTTCAACAAAAATAATGTCCTTAAAGAGGGTAAAGAACATAACTCCTGAAATTATGAAAAACGGGGTAATTATACAGTTCCAGTGCTGAACTATTCTGAAAACTGAGTAACATACAAATAAAATCTAAGCAAGCAAAAACGGAAATATGTAACTGAGAAAAATGTCTCTCCCGCCTGCCCTCTAACAAGTACATTCAACTAGTGCTGCTCAAGTAATCGAATGCAGTTCAATATCAAAACTATCTAAAACAATCCTCTCTAAGCATAATAACGAAAGATGGGCTGGTTTGGAGGGTGACAATTTGTTGACTTCATGAATGCCGAATCTGTCCATCCCATCACTTCAATTTCAAGTCAGCTTCCAGAGGAAATATCTTTCCGCGGTGATTAAAGATCATGAAATCCAGATTGGCAGGCAAAGCGACCACCCTGCAAAATAGAGATATATGAGATATCTAATAATATAGACATATCTCGAACACCGTAAGTGCGAATGAATTGACTTCTGGTACCAATTCTCACTTGGCTATACGTGAACTTAACACACCAGAAGGATAAATGAATTGTTAAAAAGGGCAGTCTGGTGCACAAAGCATCCCGCGTTCCCACAAGATCCAAGGGNACCCCAAAAAAAAATAGCAGTAGTTCTTGTTAGTCAGGGACCTACCAACTAACTTTAGCGTTTCTACTTCATTAAATGTCCTGAAAAGATACCCCAAAAACGTACTATTTCATGGAATTTAAAGGCGGGTCATGTAATTCAAATCTGGAGAAACCTGGAAAAGTACATAAATTTTTCACTGACTTCTTATTCAGCCCTTCAGTAATTAACTTTATAGATGCCATACAACCACAATGACATGGAACAAATGGTAACTATCACCTAGAGAGTTGAGAATCGGTCTTTTCTTAGATCAGCCTTGCCTTTGCTTTTCTTCACCTTGTCACTTGTCATCAAGCCTCCTACCCCGGATTTTTCAGTCAATTTGGAATAGACTCATCTCTAAGCTTCGATCTTCGTGAGAAAGACTCATGCCTCCGCTTATTGCTTCCATCCCACTCATATGTGCTCTCCTTTCTCTCGCCCTCCCTGACATTGCTTTTGCATCGCAAAGAGGAAGAAGGGTCTATGAAGAAAGATAATAGGGTGCTATATGTGTAAGTCTAAAAGAGCCCTCACAAATTCCAGTACCCAAATTTTCTAACAAGTCAATATCCAACTATATTTTCTAAATATCAAATATGCTTCCCATGATCTCTCTCTGCGTCATATTTTCTTTACATTGCTTACCCAAAACCACTGAAAATAAACCTATGCAAATTGGATTTGACTTTAAGAAAAACAACCATCTGCCACCCAGGACTTCGGTCTAGTGGTAAGAGTGCATCATATGCACATCATGGGTTTGAGCCTGGTATTTAGGTGGAGGGTAGAGGGGCAGGCCCATTACCCATCGAGTTTCAATCTTGCGCCACCCTTGGGATTTCTCAATTACCAAAAAAAAAACACACGAGAAAGACAACAATCTGATCATCTGTACTTGGGTGGTTAGGGAGTATAAGCAAGGGTTTATACGCCATGCATGGGTGTGGATAAAGAAGTTAGTCCTACCACATCAACATAGTAGTGATAGAAAGGATTCTGGGAATTTTTTGAAAATGAGGATAAAAAAGCTAGACCAAGAGAGAGACATCTTAGACTTGTTCACTGGAAAGACCTAGAACTAGTGAATACCTTTAAAGAGAGGGAAGGTTAATATTGCATGGCTGTATCCACAAGAGACTAAATGAATATGAAAAAAGGTCAAGGGATCGACAACACAACTCATAATTTGAGGTATCCTGCGGTAGATATAAGTAGGAAAGAGTCACCACAAAATTATGACCTTATGGATAAAGTTACAGATATAGAGAGAATTAATGATATTGTCTTATTAAAACCAGTGCGGCAAAAGAATACAATCAACCTCATTAGTGTCTATATTCATCAAGTATGATTAAATGAGAAAACTGAAAGCAAATTGTCTACACTCTATACTCAACAAACTGCATTATAAGGAAACCGATACTAAATTTCGGAAAAATATAGGTGTGTCCAAGTATCAAAATTGACCAAAACCTACTTTAAAGAGGGAATCACACTCGATAACATTTAAAAGTAAGTATCACAGTCAATTAGACTTCATCCTTGCCAAAAAAGTTGTCCGGACCAGGAGTAACTTTAAACGCCCAAAATAGACGGGTGGCTCTAGACGTGAAGCGAAAGTGTGAGGCAAAACAGAAGGACTGCTGCAAGCACCGAGGATTCTATGGGGGATACTAAATGGTACACACCAAATTGCATTTAAGGACAAGTTATTGAAGGAGGCGGCATTGGAGTTAGAAGCTAACACAGTTATCCAGTGGAAGAAAATGAATAGTTGCATTAAAATGTAGCAAGTGTATAGCTATATCTAAAAGTATAAGACCTCGACCACAGTAATGGTGACACCGGAATGATAAGATGCAAGGCCAATAAAGAAAAAAAAGAGTGGTATAGGAGTTTTTTTTTTTGAGAAGGAGCGGTATAGGAAGTTATCAACAGCAGTAGATGGAAAACCCTTTGAAGAACATAAGTTAGTGAAGAGAGAAGACAAGAAGGCGACTGACAAAGCACATGATAAATCCTTAGACGATACTAAAAGCTAGATACAAAGAAATGTATAAGCTAGCATGGTTGAGAGGGATGAGGGGTAAATATTTGGACAAAGTTGTATTAAAGACGATTCTCAACAAGTTATAATAGGAGGTAGTGAAATCAAAGAAAGATGGAGATAGTAATCTGATCACTTGTTCAACAGAAATCACAGGGATAGCTTTAAAGATTTATACGTCCATAACAAAAAAAGGTTAGCTCACTTGAAGCATTGTCTCCCCTAAAGTAAAGGATGCCATGAAATATGAGAGTCAGACAAGCATATGGTTCAAATGGTATCCTTGTGGAGGTTCTGAAGTGCCTTAAAGAAGTTGTAGTATGATTCACCAAGCTACGAATTTGTTTTAAGGAGTGAAACAACAACGAACATACCAAACGAATAGCGAAAGAGTGTACCTTGTGATAAATAAAAACGAAAGATATATTTAAAGCTGTTCAAACTTCGAGAAAAGAATGATAAAGCAAACATTTAGGGATATTACAAGAGTGACAGAGAACGAGTTTGGATTTATGCATGTTAGATTACAACAAGCGCTACATGCAAAAAAAAATTATGGAAATTTATAGAGAGCCTATATTTTTGCTATGAAAATTTATAGGAAAAAGGAGGATTTCCGCATGATATTCATTGGCCTAGAACTACCTCCAAACTAGCCTAGGAGCACTTCATGCACGAGGTAAGCCCTCGTCATTCATTGACAGAAAGAAAATGATATAGTTCCACTAGAAGTCTTGTGACCAGAGACAGATCCACGATTTTACTTCTATGGGTTCATGACTCATGACTAGGGTTCCAATAACTGAACCCATCACCTTGTTTAAGTTATAGGTTCATAGTTCAATATTTTCAACAATCCCAGTGGATTTTACATAGATAAATCGAGGTCTAGTGTAAAAGTTATGAGTTCAAACGAACCCACATCTATAAGGCTGGATGCGCCCCTGCTTGTGAGTGCTTGAGAAAAATGCAATTTATCTCAAAAGATAAATGCATAGAGGATATGTACAAGTGAGCATTCACAACTGTGAGACAGTAAGAATAGAGAGGCTATATTTTTGCTAAGAAATTGATGAAGTTTTATTAGGAGAGGAAGGAGGATTTCTACATGATACTCATTGATGGCCGAGGAGCACTTCATGAATGATGTAAAGTCCTGGTTATTCATCGACTTAGAGAAAGAAAAAAGATATAGTGCTAGTGAGTGCTTGAGAATAACAGAATTTAGTACGGTGCGGCCTAGTGGTCAATGAAGTGGGAAGAGAAACATGAGGTCTCATGTTCAAATCCCTGCAAATGCAAAATACACTAGGTGATTTTCCTATCTGTCTAACTCTTGGTGCACAGAGTTACTCGGCACCTGTTGCACGCAAGTTGGCCCGCCCACTACGTCATAAAAAACAAGAACAGAATTTTATATCAAAATATAAATGCATAGAGGATATGTACAAAAGTGAGCATTCACATCTGTGAGATAGCGGCAATAGATATTTCCATAACTGTGGTTTCAGTGTTTACACCAATGATCTATACCCCCTNCCAAACAACCACTGTGCTTCAGTCCAAACAAGTTGGGCTCAGCTATAAGAATTCTGATTGACCATGTTACTCTATTTAAACTACTTTCAGGATACAAATAAAAAATACAGAAAAATAAACAAGCCCCAATTTAAAAGAATGAGTTGAAGTACCTGTTTTCCTCAGATTGAGGATGGATTGACTTGAATTTTCCAGGAGCAGCAAGAGCAGCCCACAAGCATAATACTAAACTAACTATCAATTCCATCACAACCTGCAAATCATTATCAAAAACATAGTAGATCAATCTAAAGATTCAATTTTAATCAACAGTGGCAATTCTGTAAATTCAATAAAAGACTAATAAATGAAAATTTACGTTGATAGGGGGACCAGAAAACTCTTCCTCGGTAATCTTGAGCAAAGCTCTATCTGAAATTCAATAAAAAAATTGAATCTCTAAATAAATAAATAAAAAGAGGAGAAGAAAAGTTAAAGCAAAGGGGGGTTATTACATTGGACAGTGGAATAAGCAGCGTGAGATAGAATTAGAACGCCGATGACGCCAACGAGGAAACCGGCACCCATCTTGGTCGGGGAATAGATCGGCGGCCGGCGAGGGAGAAATTTGGACGGCGTAGATCGAGAGTGAGCTTGATTGTGGTGTTTGTTTGGCTTAGCTGGTTGTACTTTGAAGATTTAGCAGCTAGCGTGGATCCGATACTTACACAGTTACACCCGACGTAATTATTAGTCAGATAAAAGGTACAGTACTAAGTTTATTGCAGCACTAGTCCCTGTATTTTCACTATTTATTACCAACCGAATAAATCTATAAATTAAAAAGAATCTACAGATATATAATATATGAATAATTCATGTATTATACAAGTCTAACTGTACATAATCAACATATAATCTATACACACCGACTAGATTAAGTAAATAAATTCGGCCAAGTAAAAATCTTTTTTCCTCTTTTTTTTTAATTTTTTATTTTTCAATGACTCAACATTCAAGTCATGTTCTTTTTTTCTTCTTCATTCAAGTCATGTTGAATTTATGATTTAGAAGTAAGAAAAAAGAAACTATCCCTCAGCACACGTCTTAGGGGATTTTTTTTCACTTTAAGTACCATACAATAGTTATAATTCTTCGATATCAACTTAAATGGGTAAGCATCAAATTTTAAGTGAGTATTAGTGACATTATAACATGGCCGAATATAAATTTTGATACTAAATTTCACTTTTGGAATTCAAGCTTTTCGACAATGTTTGCTATTTTGGTGCTCATATAATCTAAAGCTAAATTAGTTCAACCTTACTTACTAACTTTAATTCACTAAAGTTACGAAGTATACTTGTTTGATCAGTTTAATTTAATTTTTAAGAAGAAAAAGAATGAGGGCGCATATCTTACACATCTTCACTCTAATTAGGCTTAGAGAAAAATGATTAATGTTTATTAGTTTGAACATAAAAAAATAACAACAATATACACATGCATTTACTTGTTTATTGTCCTTCTTAGTCACCCCATTATTTTTTCGTCACTATACACTTATTTGCAGAGTATAAGTCTCATTTTTGGAATTAAAATTGGATAAAATCATAGTAAATTTTAAACAAATAATTAGATCAATGCAATTTGAATTAAATTAGGGGTAACAAAATATCTTTAAATTTAAAATTAACAGAAGAATAACATTAAATCGTCTCATAAAGAAATAAAATCTTAGAAGAAAAAAAGAGTGTGAATGAAACGTTATATATTAAAGCTTATATTGAGGGAGGCGAGTGTAGTTCATAATTCTAGAAGGATGTATATGTATTATCCTAGAATAGAGAGGGACGTTATTGCAATTGGCTTTTTCTTATTTTTGGGTTTCTTTTCTTCTTCTTTTAATTCCTCCAACATATTATCTTCCTTCCTTCCCTCCCTCTCAAACAAACAAAAGACAAGCAGAAGTTAAAGGAACAGGCCACTGTTTATTTCAACCATTTCAGGTAATCCGAGAAACTTCGTAAAGTTTAACGCATTTTGCGTCACTGTTTAGTTTTGTTGGTACAATTAATATTCTGTCCGTTGTTTGTCACTGAAGTCTTTTTAATTTGTGTAGACAAATTGTCTCGATAGAGAAACTATCGAGTATTGGCATTAGGCATGTCCAAATAAAGATAATGTATACATAGGATTTTATAGACAAGTCGTTTGAGATTGTTCAGCTACCTTGTGATGCACAAAAAAATGGTAGCAGCGGCGGAGCTAGGATTTAAGTCAAAATATAAAGAAGTAAATACACTAAGAAGTCAAGGAATCCAGCATATAGTATATATACTACATAAAAAGAATTTACTTATCTACGCAATGTAATTTTCCAGCAATAAGGGTGGCTTCTCCACTGTCAGAAGTTTGAGCAAGTATATTGATGCACAAATTTGGCTTGCAGTTTAGTTAGTTTATTTTAATTAAGAGGAAGTTATTTATGCATTTGGGTAGTTTAAGTAGATGCAGTTAGTTAATTAGTTAGCTTGCTTAGACAGAAGCAGAGCCAGGATTTAAAGTTTTTGGGTTCTGGATTCTAGTTCATTTAAGTTATTGGGTTCTAAATTAATAATTTGTACATATTCGATAGATGATTTAAGACAAATACAGGATCTGGACGAAATCTAATGGGTTCGGCCGACCCCATAGGTAAAGAACTAGCTCCGCCATGTGCTTAGATAGAGCAGTTGGATTTCTCATAGCTACTGATCTTTTAGTATAAGTACATGTACTTGTAGAAGGAATAATGAATACAATTCTTTGATTCTTCACTTGGATGATGGTATTGTGATGAATTTCTGCTTCAAAGCTTCTTCTCCAGGCCAAAAGTTACCAAAATGTGCTCAAAGATTGTATTTATACGTTTTGGCACGGTCCACATGAAATTTCCAGATTGCATTTTGCAGATTAACTTTACCGGAGGTTGTGCAGTTGCACAGCATCTTTAATGAATAACCTCTGCAGTTTTCTTCTGTTGAGCGTGCAGTTGACAACCATGCCACTGAACTGCATACGCATTATAATTGAGAACACCAACTTTCTGCCGGAACTTGTTATTTGGGAAGTGCTTGGTGGCCTTCCAAGTTGTCAACTGCATGACTTGTGGAATCATTGCAATCTTCATTCCATTTTTCTTCTGTCTTGCCGACACACTCCAAGTCGTGCGGCCATATGAAATGCTATATTTCATGCCTTGCTTACTTTTTAGCGTTTCTTCCCCTCATTGGCTAAATCCTTCTGGGACTGCAAAAAAATGATATTTTTCATCAGATAATATTTAAATTGCTTGCTAACAAACATGCAATACATTTAAAAAATAAGCATTTGTAACTTGATGTAAAATCAACTTATCAACAATTAGATTTTAGCAAAAACTCTTCTACCCCCTGCTCCCTCTCATCTTCTCTTTTGCAATTCTTGTTCAAGTCTCTCGGAAGTTTCCTTCAGCTGACTTGAGTAGAATAACCAGTTCTCGAACTGTCACTAGTTCTTGAATTAGGTGTAACACATTCTATGCAGTTCAGTCTGAAGCAGTGTTGAACCGTGTAACAAAATATCTGTAACATAACGCTGTGTTATTTATTTGTTTATTAATTATTTATTTCATATTTTTTGCAGCCTGTAGTTCCAAATTGATCGACAGTAAACAAGAAAGTATGAGTCGGGTTCTGAATTTCTTCTTAGGATACTCTTTACCAAGAATATCGGATTTCCACAATGGTTGTACAAAGTTTCAAGATTCGCCACAAATTAGATCACGTTTGTCTTATGGGAAGCCTTCTGCAGTCCAAAATTGTAAAAGGGTTCAATTTTCACCACAAGGTTATTACTAAAATTGCTGTTCCAAGTGATAGAACAAAAAGTCCAAAATCTTGTTATCCTTTTATAAGTGGTGTTCTCGATTTGTATGTTTTCAGCTTTAAATCTGGAGCTAGCTGCTTATGCTGATTTGCATTCACTTCCAGACGAGGTAATTTCAATAATTTTATTCTCCTTACATTTTAAGAAAATATTCGACAGTTGTTTGTCTATCTAAGTTATAGATACATGACCCAACTAGTGCATTACCGAGAAAATGATGTTTTATGCTAACATGGACTGTTGATAACTGTTGTTTCCTAATCCCCGATGTTAAAGACTTCTCCTTATCCAATGAACATACATATGATCCACATATTTTCTTGCTAACCACAAATCTGAATTAGCCTCATCTTTTTCCCTCTCCCCAATTTAATGTTTTGGCTTTGGTTATTCTATTGTATCTGTACTTCTATGCATTATATTCAATTGAATGAGATGACATTTCTCCTCTTCATATAAACTAATTAAAGTATTTGACTTCATGAATGAAGTATAGGCATATCGCGATATATACTGATGCAATGCGCATTTGCTATGTTAAATGATCTGAGATTAGAAGCAAGCCTATTGGAAATTGTGAACTTGCATATTAATAATTAATAAGTGCCTTAGTATCCCCTAACTAATCATTGTGGGCAATGTATATAACAAATGTTGTTAGCTGAGTTATTACTCGGATCCTCATTTCAAAATCTTGCATTTCGTCTAGGAGAAATTGTCGGTAAGTGAATATGTGCTCTGACCTTGGGTTGCATTTTAGATGCTTAAATCGATTTTGTTACATATGTTTAAAAGAGTTTAAGTCTCTGGATAATTTGGCTTTACTTTAAGTACAGGGATTGTTGTGGTTGTTTATCCGGTAGTATTATTAACTCACTTCTATTCAGTAGCCGCAAGTTTTGGTTCAACGCTAAGGTCACGTCACGAGTTTGAGACCTACCTGTTGAACTAAGACAGGTATTTAAGTGGAGAAGGGCAGAGAGGTGGGCCTAGTATGCACTGAGTTTTGTAGCTAAACTACAATGAATTCCTCAGTCATAAAAAAGTCTTTTTCTACTGTATATGCTGTCATTTTCTGCAACCATTAAAACTTGACCTCCTAGTTTGAGTAGTGTTAGTTCAGCAATAAATTAGCAAAGTATTGATATATCAAAGTGCTCCTTTACTTTACCTGATACACTTAAGTAGTTAGTTTGTCATGCATATTGTTTTAGTTCATGTCCAAAAGAATGAAAGAGACACTGAGAAGCCATAATTGATTGAGAATGTAAAAAATATAAGAAACACGTAAAATATAACGTGACTATATTTATTGTTTTTTTCGTGTGCCATTCAGTCTGCTGTCTGTTCTTCTTACCCAGACAAGAATCCACTTTTAGGCTGAAGCTCGTGACGGAAGAGATTCAGATATCTTACCTCATGTTCAAACCCTTAGAAATTTTCCAGAGGAGGAACTAATGGGCAAAGTTGTCATGGTCAGATTGGATTTGACCATTCTGCTAAGGGAGCAGAAGAAAAAGCAGTCGCCAGCAGGTCGTGTAATTTCAACCATCAAGTATCTACACAAAGCCGGGGCAAAATTAATTTTAATAAGTAGCTGGAGTGCGAGAGCTGATTCACAGCTTCTGAAATTGGAACGTGTTGCAGGTTTACAAATTTCTTACTTTTCACTTATTGTTCATGCTGCTTCTCCCCATTCTAGGCAATGATGAAGGGACCTGCACTGACACGATAACTGTGTTTGTTTGATGTTAGCTAAAGATGTTTTCAATGGAGTTCAATTGATCCAAATATTGTGTTTCTTCAGAATTTCTATCGTCAGAACTTGAAATGGAAGTCATACCAGTGGAGCTTGGTTCTGGATTTGAGCAGTCTCAGATGGAAGATGGACATAATTCTGACATCCTTCTACTTGAGAACCTTTCTCAGTTTAAGCAGGAGCAAGCCAATTGTTCAGAGTTTGCACGATGCCTATCATCTGGGGTAGATATCTTTGTTAATGATGCATTTTCCCAATCACATAAGATTCTTGCATCAAATGTTGGTATTACCAGCTTCTGCTATGCCTCCATTGCCGGATTTCACTTTGATGAGGGAATGTCTCAACTGAAGAAAATAATCAAGATGAACAAAAGACCCTATTATGCAATAGTATGCATCTGAGAATCTTTTGCTTCAACATTGAGTAATTTTCAGGCTCTTGCTTCAAACGAAAAAGGAATTTTTTGTTCACAAATTGCACGTGATAATGTGAGATGCAATGCAGATTGGTGGAGCTAATCTCGCTGGGAAAGCAGCAGCCTTGCAATTTTTGGCATCTAGATGTGACGGTTTAGTCTTTGTTGGAGATGCTGCATTTCAAATCATGCATGCTTTTGGATTAGCTGTGCCTATGGAATTGGTGGAAAAAGAATCACTAGAAGCAGCCCATATGCTAATTGAGGCTTCAAAGGCAAGAGGAGTACAAATTGTATTACCAAAAGACTTTTGGTGCCTCAATGATCATTATCCACTACAGATGAAGATTTGTACTGCTAATCATATCATGGATGGTAAAGTTATCTCTTAATCTTCAACCTAGCCCCTAGGTCTGCACTGTTTTATGTGCCAGATTAAGGATCAAATGGATAAGAGAACTGAACAACTTTTAAAAAGTTAAACGAACTTCATTTAGTGGCTATTTTGACCATCTAAATTCTATTTGCTCCATCATAATGCCAGGATTAGCCACTAAATGTGAAGGTCACTGCTATTATCACTGATTTTGATCTCGCAACTGAAAATTTTGAAGCAATTTTAACCTTGCCATTTATCTTGCTCTCTTTTTGTCGTCTTCTTGGAAATGAGACTAATAATCACCTGATAATAAGCTTACAGGAAAAAGGGACTTCTCAGTTCTGTTGGGTGATGGGTTATTTCCAACATGCAATCAAACATCATTGCAATTGAAATTCCATATTGTTGTCCTTTGGTGAATGATAAATTTTGATCCCTCTCCGGCAGTTTTGGTCCTTATTTTGGAAATTCCATTTGCTTGAGTTTAAGCTAATTTCGTTTCTGAAAGTTTGAGAATATGTCTCTCTAGTATTTACCATTGGGACGATAGTTTTTGAGATATTTATGGCTTTCAAATGTGTTCCTTAGGATGGAAACCTGTTGATGTTGGACCCAACACGTTGGAGGAAATGATCTCCATGCTTTCAAGATGCAAGGTAATCCCTGAAGTTCCTTCTGCGCTAAAGGCCTAAAAGTAAAGGTTCTTGCTCAATTTTAGGTCACAATTTGGTGTTCTTGACTAGATCCATGAGAGTTCATAGGATATCTCTTGTGCATGATCGCAATTGTAGGTTTGACCTTTGATTTGCATCTACAAAAACAGTGTCAAAACTAATTAAACTAATCGTTTCCGCAGTAGTACTTTTGCGCCGCAAGTAACATGCTAGATTTTTCCTATTCTTTAGGGCTTATTTATTGCGCATAGTCTTACCCTTTTTTGCCTTGTCAAGCCTTCTTTCCCTACCATTATCATTGTTGGTGGTGCTGTTATTACAATGCTGACACAACAGTGTAGATGTCCTACTGTTGATCTAGATTTTACCTTTACCCATCTTTTCCTTTCATATTCTTGCTCTAGAAGCTGAAGTTAAAAGATAACTAGTAGCTTAGACTTCAGTAGCGGGTATTAAATTTTCTTGTCCCACAAATACTTGTGCCTATAATATAGGATGAATTAAATCCAAATATTTGAAATTTACCTGTTCAGTTCGTTTGTACAGGCTATGAGAATTTCTGTGATCTTATGTATTGAAATAGCTGTCACAGGGAACTTCTATGATCTTGTGATGATATAACTTGGAGCATTTGTTGTACGGTTTCTCTTGCTCAATATGATGATAATTTTGTTTTTGTACGATCTATTTTTTGGAAACAATAGATGCTCAGAGAAACATGCTTTCATTGTTTTTCAGAAAATTTTGTGGATTGGAGCTATAAAGTTCGCCGCATCAAATCAAGAATCTGCTGGAACGTCCAAATTGGCTGCAATGCTTTATAATCTTAGTCAAAAGAACTGTGATCTTATTGTGGTTGGCAAACAGGCATGTGAGACATTTGTTGGGAAATCAAGTTATGTAACGGTCGATTTGATTGAAAACGCTTCCATTGTCTGGGAGTTTCTGAAAGGGAGAAAGCTTCACGGCCTCTTGGCACTAGATAGAGTATGCTTTTTTCCAACTCAACATGCTGTGTTACACAAATTTTAAAAAGCTGAATCCAGCTTCCTCAAATTTTACGTAGATAGAAAAAGGAAATTGTGTTAATAGAGAAAAGGAGGTAGACACATGGATAAGGACAAAGATTTGACTCGATATGAAATGAAACAAGAATAAACAAGCTCATCAAAAGCCCCTTCCGTTCACATCTTGACCAATGTTTGCAATATTGGCTACATGTTATGTGCTGTCAAAATTATGACTATTCTTCTGCAAAGTGGAGCATACTAAGGGGAGCCGCAGAACCATATATCTCGGAAATATTTACTTAGAACAGTAATGCAAGGTGTCAGAGCCTTAATTCTCATGAAGGAACTATAGACCTACTTGCCACCAACCCCGACTCCTTTCCTGTATAACTGCTTACCATACGGCACACGTTTTTTTTGTCTTTCCTGCGTTCTAAATACTTTACCACTGAATTAAATTACTGTTAATAGTCCTCTTCGAACTTGACTTTGAACATGCCCACTAGTATATGAAGTATGCTTACCAATAGATGTGTATTAGCTTCAGAACTAATGAATGTTTGGCGTTTATGCAGGCATACCCATTTGAGTTGAACTGGGATGCTATATATACCAATACGACCCTACCTCTTGTTGTTGATGTAGGAAGTGGTAAATCTCTCTTTCCCCTGATTCCATCTTTCTCTACTTCTATCATATTATTTGGGTTTGAATATGTGCAATCATTTGATTACACCAGTAATCAATGGAGTAACAGCTCCATATTTACAATGAAACATAAAAAATTTACTGCCGGAGTGTCTGGAGGGACTCTAATTTAGTCATAATCTTATAGCCTCGTATATGTGAGCAATGAATCCATGGGTTTCCCCGTACATTGGTTATATCCCTGGAATAATACTGTTAAAGANTGTGAATCCTCAATGGTCATTTCACTCCGTTTGGAACTGTTTCATTCTACTTCTGATTAATTTGGGTTTCTCTCGCACTAGAAGTTTAACATTTTCTACTGACGCTCTAAAAAGATTAACAAATATTGCACTCAATGTAAGCGTACTTATATGACAAAGCCTTAATCATAACTAGTTGACTTAATCATAACTAGGGGTGGCAAAATGGTTAAAAGAAAACAGTTAACCACCCATATTATCCACTAAAAAATGGGTTGGATAATGAACTTTTTAAAAACGAGTCAAATATGGATAAGAACCATATTATCCATTTAGAAAATGGATAACCAATGGGTCTAACTTTTACATTTGTAAAGCCTCAAATTGGGGGTTCCTCAAGTTAGGGAGACTAAGAATTCTCCCAAAAGTGATCATATGCAAGAAGTCATAGATAATATGGTTAACCATATTATCCGCCGGTTAACCCGTTTTTTATCCGTATTAAATATAGGTTGGGTCGGCTAATTGATCCGTTTTTCATTACCCGTTTGACCCGAACCATATCCGACCCGACCCGTCCGTTTGCCGCTCCTAATCACAACTAGTTGATATCGCTCATATGGATCTTTTACTTACGTTGTCTTATTTTTCGCAATCTCCTTATTTCGAGAAATTGTAGGTCTTTGAGACAACTTTTTTCCTTATGATTTTAGGTCTAATTCGTTTCTTTTTAACACCTTCAATCATCATGGTTTCACAACTACGGGTTGGTGAATTTGGAGGTTGATAGGATATGGACATTGGGCCTAACTCAACCCCAAAAGCTAGCTCATGAGGTGAGAATTGTCCAAGCCATATAAGGAGACCAAGTCCCCCATCCCTTAGCCGACGTGGGAGACTCAACACTCCTGGCACGTCCAGGCCTACCAACTGGAGCGTGGATAATATAATATGGGGGCCCAACATCGGTGAAACAAAGAATTGGGATGAGTCCGGCTCTGATACCATGATAAGATATGGACATTGGGCCTAACTCAACCCCAAAAGCTAGCTCATGAAGTGAGAATTGTCCAAGCCATATAAGGAGACCAAGTCCCCCAGGAGACTCAACAGAGGTCTACGTAGGACATGACTGAACTATCAAATGACCTTATCTCATGTTATCCTCTATGCTTGCTACTTGCGCTTTACGTCGGATGTGTATTAATTATGATCTTGTATGACCGCGGCTCATCTTAAATCTGCATTTCTACAGCACCAGTCTTGCAGTGTGTCCCGATACAAGAGATTTGAGAAATGAGAGAGTATATGTTGAAACTTGTTATAGACATATAGTCCTTATAAAGATATAGTCCGTTCTTGGTTGATTGAGTTTTATATGGTAAAAAGATCCAACTTATAGTAAGAGGGAGACAGCCACCTGCGTTACTAAGATAAACTTTTTTTTTATATTTCCATTTCCTTAGCTTTAGCTACAATAAGCCCTTGTGGTTCGGCCCTTCCCCGGACCCCGTGCATAGCGGAAGCTTAGTGCACCGGGCTGCCCTTTTTTCCTTAGCTTTAGCCTGCATATCAAAATTACCCATGTTGTGCAGCACCAAATGACGTTATTAGTTGTTAGTTCTCACAGTTGAAACCAAATTACAGGCAACGGCTTATTTCCGTTCAGAATGGCAAAGATGAGGAAGGATTGGAACTTTCTTGGCATGGAGATGAATGAAAAGGTTGAGTCTTTTGCAGAATGTATATTCTGCTGCTTTCTGTCTAAGCTTAATAATTTGACTTTCCCCTGTTTCCAGTTGGTGAGCCGTTGTATTGATCATGTTTCTCAATCTGGCATGACTAATGGGTATGTATTTTTCTCCCTATTTAATTGCTTTATAAGATATGCACACGAATAAAGTGTTGTGTTTAATATCGGAGTTAGCAACCAATATACCTTATTTCTTTTAAATCCTAATTGCTGTTGAAAAATGTCAAAGTATCTGCCTCAAAAGCGCGTGCTCTAACCATTGCACTTGTATTTTAGCAGCAGATAGTCTTCTATTTTACGTGTTCTAATTTTTTTGTTTTCTTCTTTCATCTTTGTTTTTAGATACTTCATAGCAACAAATGCCACATCGACATTCCGGTCCATTGTTTCCAGTTACCCTGGTGATCTGGTTCTTGTGTCAATACAGGTAGGTGGCATTTTGTTGTTTCTTTTGAATAGAATCTAAGATACATATCAAAATGCCATGGTCAAGGCTGGCCATGTAATCGCTTGTATGTTAATAACAAGGAACAACAAATTTCCTCACAACTGCAGTGTCCAAATCCAGATTTCAATAAACCAGAATACCGATGGAGGATGGTGCAAAGATCATTAGTTGAAGCAATAGCAGACTTACTGGCTTCAGATGGAAAGGTAAAACTGCATCTCTGTGGTGCTGTGTCTCTGATATGCAATTGAGTCTCTAATTGAATTGTGATCAACTATGTGATTGAAAAAGCAACAAATTTTGACATGATTCAAGTAGTAACATAAATGATAGATATTGTTTAGAAGATGGAGCATGGTTTTACTCAACTCCAAAAGTTAGCTCATTAGGTGAAGATTGCTCAAGATTATATAAGAGACTTCTGGTTAAGCGTGGAGTGATCTCATCCACTCCACCACATTCGCCGGTGGTGATTACCTACCAT